ATAATATATAAAACTTATATATAAGTAAATTCTTATATATAACACAATAAAAAAATGGGCTTACAGTTATGAAAGTTGAATTGGTGTAGAGAATCATTTTGAAGAGACAGGTTCGATTATATTCTAAGTATACCGGAAAAGTGCTTAATAAATTTGATAATCCTGCTTGGACACTTGAACCAATTGATGCTTTTCTAAGGTTACCATCCAACCGGTGTCGGAGCAACAAAATTAGGTAACCTAAAAAACCCTTATCTGCCAAAAAAATGGCCGAGGAGTAAACCTGTCGTGTGGAATATGAGGTTATGGTTCAGTCATCTGATGCTTTGTAAATTAAACCTCAAATCTCATTTCCTTAACACTATCAAACGGAGGATTAAGTTGAGAAACATTGACAACACATGAACTTATAACTCATGAATTGTTAATGTACGTGTTCTCTATTTTATAAGGAGTGGGTTCAAATCCACTTTCCTATTGAGAAATACAGCACCTGAAATGAGTAAAGTGGGAAAGGAGAAGTAGAGGTAATGGGAAGCCCATTTACGTATTTTCTTCTTGACATAAGAGACAACTGCGTATGCTCTTCGACATTAGGGATTGATGACCTTTCAACTGTTGCAATTTCAAGAGAAATAAAATGTAAGCTGCCTGTTTCTTCTGTAGAGCCAAATGAGCCTTGGCACTGCTATTATATGAGTATGGAAAACATAGGAAAATCCGAAAACGTTAGTCAAGTAATCAAGTTGAAAAGTCTAATTGCATATTTTTTTTGAAGTATTCTCAGCTGAAGTTTTGTTTGAAGTATTCTTAACTAAAGTCTAGTGTTTGATGAATTAGAGAATTAGCAGCAACATCGACATCGGTAATATGTTAGAAATTAGAATTGAAAATTTCAAAATCAACTATTTTTGTCTTTCTATAATTTATATTCCATCAAAAATTCAAAATTTTGAATATGAGTTTAACCTCAAACAAAACCCCTTCGTTTCAACAGGACTAGTCAGTAGTAGACTTATACATTTAGTGACCGGCCAACCTATACGCAATGTGATGCCAAATCAGGTATTTTTGTAAGAGATTAGAAGCTGTTCAAGCAGCATAAAATTAAATTGTGGTGTGGTTGTTAGGAGTGTTTTCTGCTGCAAGAATTAGAGAAAACATATAAATAAAATTTGGTAATTTTCCACAAGTAAAAAGAAGAGAGATGAAAAGGAAATGAATGAAATGTTTCAACTTTCAACCATATAAAACTATTACCATTCACTAAAAGGTTAATATATCTTAAAATGAATCAGTCAACGATGCTTATACCCAATGGTGACAATGTGCAAATCCAAGAATTTCAAGTGACAAAAACGATTGAATGGACAAATAAATTGTTTAAGTTGGTACGTACCAAAACAAAATTGTTTAATTCAACTTCAAGTAAAAATTTTGTTTTCTTTCTCAGCAGCAACTTTTTAAAGCGAAGACCTGGGGATTTGTTAATCTGGGGAAGGTAGACATATTACATCCAGTTATAGCATTATTCAACACAAATAATCGAACGAAGTATAGCTCAATACACAAATGCACAAGGAATCTAAGAAACCATCCAAAGAAACAGTCAAGCACAAAATACCCAAAACAGAAAATTAATTGTTGAGTTTCAGCCCTTCTTCCCACTCTTCGCCGTATCCTCTTTTCCCCGTAATTCATAGGCAATGGCAACAATGGTGAACACAAAGGTGGAGGATAGGGTTATAATTGCCAGCATGCGATAGTAATTGTCAAGATGACTTTTGCTAATGTCATTGTCACTGCCAACCCAGCTGTTTGGAGAAGCTGCTGTGAGTATCATACC